TCAGTTTACTAATTGAACAAATGGTCCTCAACGTTTATGAGTTAGCACATTGTCAGTGGATATTAATATTTTCTAGCTCTGCATAGTGATATATCCCTGTAACCTTAGCACACCAGAGGCTGCGGCAGCAGGATCACGTAAGTTCAAGGCTACCCTGAACTGTGTTGAGACTCTGTGCTTGCCTGGGAGGGAATCTTTATAGTTAGTAAAATTGACATGACACTGCTAAATTACATCCCATCCTCTGTGTAGTCACTGTTGGGTTAATATGTCATTATGGAACTGGAGCGATGGGTCTTCAGTTCAAGAACCAGTGTGGCTCTCTTGTAGACAGCCTGAGTTTGGTTTCCATCATGTATGTAGACTGTCTCACAATAAATAACCTTTAACTCAGGAGATCTGACCTCCTGGCTTCCTTATGCACCTTCTCTCAAATACTATTACATTCCCCAACCCAATATACAAAATTTAACAAAACAAAGCAAAACAACAACAACAACAAAACTTTTTTAAAAGAAGAAAAGGGGGGAGGCTTCAAAGGCATAAGAAGCCATTTTAACATTGAGACGTTATGTAGTACTGCCACCTGCTGGACACAGTGAGACATGGCAGCAAGTCAACTTATGAAAGGCTGTCTAGCAGGAACACTGAGATTTGTTGCTGGTCCAGTCTTCCACCTTTTGCTGGTTATCTATCCTGCATTTATCTTCTTCCTTTTACAGTGCTACTATGAAACTAAAATGCCATCCATGTCCCCCTTTTCTTCTACATTGTGAACTCTGCAGCGTATGAAGTGATTTAATATACTGAGAGAATGTACTGGCTAGTTTTGTGTGTCAACTTCACATAAGCTGGAGTTATCACAGAGAAAGGAGCATCCCTTGAGGAAATGCCTCCATGAGAGTCAACTATAAGGAATTTTCTTAATTAGTGATCACGGTGGGAAGGCCCAGCCCATTGTGGGTGGTGCCATCCCTGGGCTGGTAGTCTTGGGTTCTATAAGAAAGCAAGCTGAGCAAGCCAACGAAAACAAGCCAGTAAGTAACATCCCTCCATGGCCTCTGCATCAGCTCCTGCTTCCTAACATGTTTAAGTTCCAGCCCTGACTTCCTTTGGTGATGAACAGCAATGTGGAAGTGTAAGCTGAATAAATCCTTTCCTCCCCAACTTGCTTCTTGGTCATGATTGTTTGTGCAGAAATGCAAACCCTGACTAAGACAGAGAGGATCAAGTTAAGCATATGAGATGAAGAATCTCAAACAGCTGTCAGCAATCAGATTTTGTAAAGTTTGAAATTAAATGATAGAGGAGAGTGGATTTCTTGACAATTATGAAATATAAAATATTGTGCTTGCTATCCTATTTCAAGCTGATGGCAAATTTAGTGGGTGGGTTTACTTTTGAATATGGGGTTCTGAAATCTGGAAAGATGCAATTAGAATTGCAACTGCCTGAACAGAAAGTGCATAGTGTCTGTGAGAGGTCATCTGTCGAATGACTCAATTTGATAAGCTTGGTTCATACAGAGATAGCTCTGTGGCTGAATACAGGACGACAAGAGTTAGAATGGATTGGATTGTTCTGTTGGGGAGGGAGAAGGAGAGGGAAAGGGAGAGAGACAGGGACAGGGACATAGACAGATGACAAGGAGATGGCTTCTTATTCCAGAAGGGGATTGTTAATCACTGGGTCCAGGCTAAGAATAATTATGAAAAGATGCAGGGATGCAAAGGTGGAAAGACTGCAAGAACCAGAGGTGATGCAAGACACCAAGAGAATGCAGACCTCTGAACCAAGTAAGCAAGGCACATACGAGCTCACAGGGACTGAAGCAGCAAGCACAGTGTCTACGTGAGTCTACACCAGGTCCTTTGTATATACATTATAGCTATTAGCTGAATCTTTTTATAAGACTTCTGACTGTGAGCACAAGTGGACGTCTGACTCTGTGCCCTCTCTTAGGGCTCTTTTCCTTCTGTTGGGTTGCTTTGTCCAACGTCACTATGATAGTTTCTCCTTCATCTTACTGTACTTCATTTTGTCATGTTCGGTGGTTATCTCTTAGAAGCCTGCTCTTTTCTTATGAGAGACAGAGAAAGAAGTGGATCCCTGGGGGAGGGTGCAGGAGGAGCAGCCAGTAGGAGAGGTGAAGGGACATTGTAGTTAGGATTGACTGTGTGAGAAAAAAGATGTATTTTCAGTAAAGGGTGGGAAGAAATAAAATCATTCCCTCCCTTTCTTTGTTTCCTCTCTTTCTTCCCACTAATATTTCCTTCCCCTTCCCCCACCTCCTGAAAAACAAGAATAATCTAATATTGATTTATAGGTTATTTCCATTCCTGAGACATTCTCAGTAAAGCAGGTTTATATATGAATGGCTTGTTGATGGTTTAAGGTTTTTGTTGTTGTTGTTGTTCATTTGTTTTTATGATTCTAGCCTTTTGTTTTTGTTGTTGTTTTTATATTTCTTGCTGATTTGGACTGCTGGAGTCAGTGTGTTACAGCTACAGGAAATTGTGTGAGGAGAGCTGGAGCCTCATTTGAACTAAGTAACTATGTAATCAGACTGGAGTCCAGAGCCGCTTCTCCAACGCCCGCGTTTAGGAGCTGCAGTTAAACCTCTGTGGGACGTTAAGGGACAGATGGTCCTAGCTATATCCAGGCTCCTGCATGCCATGCTGCTTAGTTCTATGTCAACTTAACAGAAACTGGAATCATCAGAGAGGAGAGAATCTCAATTGAGAAAAATACCTCCCTAATATTCAGCTGTAAGAAATTTTCTTAGTTAGGGCTTTTTCTTAATTATTATTTGAGGGGGTCCCCACATTGTGGGTGGGGCCATCCCTGGGTTGGTGGTCCTGCGTTCTATAAGAAAGCAGGCTGAGCAAGCCTTCAGGAGCAAGCCAGTAAGCAGCACAATTCCATGGTTTTTGCATCAGCTCCTGCCTCCAGGTTCCTTTCCCCCCAACCCCCCGCCACCCCGAGAGTTCCTGCTCTCGCTGTTTTGGGTGATGAACTGCTATATGGAACTGTAAGCGAAATAAACCCTTTCCCCTGCAGTTGCTTTTGGCCATGATGTTTCCCCACAGCAATAGTAACCGTAATTAAGACACATGTGTTAGAGCCCTCCATTTTCTCCCCTTGGTCTTTTCTTCCCTCTTCCTGATTCCTGTGTTCCCCTTGCCTCTCTCCATTCTAATAGGAATGACATGTACTTATATTCAGCATGACAATTTGAAACACGCGTGTATCGTGGAATGGCTGTACTGAGGCTTCCCTTAGGTGTCTTACGTTGCTCTCTGCATTGGGTGAGGGCATCATGCAGGCTGGTGGTCAGATGGAGCGTGCTTCCTTCTTCATAAGATCAGAAGATGGGGTATCCTGGCTACTAACCATTTAGACTCTTCAGACTTCCAAGGAAGGTGGCCTCCTTTAGGGTGTGTGTGTGTGTGTGTGTGTGTGTGTGTGTGTGTGTCAGGGGAAAAGGAGGGTTACTGTAAATCTCTGCATTCCAACGTCCAATTCTTGGAAGGAGAAAACTGACTACCAATGTTGTGTTCTGATTATCTCATATGCTGTGTAGCACTGTGATAGCACACACACACACCATGCACACACAGATATGCATTAACAATAATTTAAAAGAAATTTTAAAAGTACTCCCTGCAATGAACAACATTTGTGGTGGAGATTGTGTGCAGAGACAATATTTGCCACATAAAGGCATTTTAAAAGAGTCATATCAAAAGAACAGTAAAGTGCACTTGCTTCCCCTTTTTTTTTTTCAGAATGGAGACTTTGTTCTCTGGCTTAATCTGTTATCCAGAATCTTTTCTGAACAGACTTTTGTGGGAATCAGTGTGTGTGTAGGGGGGTGTTCTACAAACAAAGGAGCTGTGTTCTCAGCCCCATCCCTGGGAACTGTCCAATTCATGACCCCATAACCAATCACAGCACTGGGAGCCCTCGCATAGAAGGTTAGGGAACACTCTCAGACCCCTAGCTTGCTTCTCCAGCCACTCTCTATCTCTTGTAGATAATGAGAATGTGTGTAGAGTATCACATCCATAGAAATTCTGGTAGGTGTAACGATAAAATGATGATGCGTTTGTCCCAAAATGAAACATAAATCTGTTTTGTACAGAAACAAGAGAGAAATGGATCTCACGGAGATTTATGTGTCTTTGTCCTTTTTGCCAATAAGAAGCACACTTGCACTGTCTTTGGGAGAGTCCTCAGTGGAAGCCAAACTACTTCGCACCCCACTGGTCTCATTTAGATTCTTGGTTAACTTGGCACAAGCTAGAGTCATTTGAGAAGGAATTACAATCGAGAAGGCAGCTACACTGGATTGGTCCATGGAACAATTTTGGGATCACTGACTGATTGTTCAGCAGCCTGTGAGTGTGGTCAACCCTGGGCAAACGATCCAGAGTTGTATGAGAAAGCAGACGAGCAAACCTTGTGGAGTGAGCCAGCCAGTAAGCAGTGTTTCTCCATATCCTCTGCATCAGGTTCTGCCTCCAGGTTCTGGCTTTGAGTTCCTTCCTGACTGTCAGGGATTAACACTAATCCAGGAAGTGCGAGATGAACCGACTCCTTTCCTCTCTAGGCGGCATTTGAAAATGGTGCTTATTATAGCAATAGAAAACAAATTAGGAGACACACAGATGCTCGTGCATATGTATAATTAAGTCTAGATTCCACTTGTGAGAGAAACCATGTAATATTTTGTCTTTAGTCTCATTACCCTGTCTTGTTCCTTCCTTTGGAACTCTTCCTCATAGTCCTCCTCCTACTTTAAACTTACAAGAAACATATGTGGGCACATACAAAAATGTACATATGTGTACCCCTGCCTGAGTCTCAGAGTTCTCTGGCTCCAATTCTTGCTAGTAAGCCCAACCACGCAGCAGTACAAAAGCGCATGCGCACATTCCTTAGCAAGGACAGCCTGCCAAGGGTGGGTCCATGTGCGCATGCTCGAATGCTTCCCTCTGGCCAGAATCACTCCGTCAAGGCAAAACAAAACTAATGATGCAGGTAGGATTTCCAGAAGCAGCTCTTCAGAATGAGCTCTCGCTGTCAGCAATTCTGCCAAGAAATGGAGGTAAGTCAGATTTTCTGGACTTCGGTGCTTCTGACTAGTGGACTTGATGGTTCTTATTTGGGAAGCTGTCCTGTATGTACAGCATAAAATACTCGGGGTGCATCTTTGTGTATAGCCTCTAGGTGTCAGTAGTCCGTCATAATTGCAACAACCAAAAAACCCACTGGACTTCATAAGGCCTCCCGGGCCTCAACTGAGAAGCATGGCTATAAATACCTTAAGTTATTTTCCTAATTGAAAATATTAATATGCACAGTACAAGCAAGAGATATGAGACAGGGTCCAGATGGGAGAAAGGGTATTGAAATCAAATCATGAATGGGGCTTATTTTAAGATTCAAAAGGAGAACATGTAAAGAATTTGAGGTATGCCAAGGAAGACTTAGTCCCTTCAGTAGGGGACTGCGTAGTGGAAGGTTTTTACCACATTCGGTCTGAGTGAGGACAAGACACATACTTAGCTGTGTCCACAGGCGACTGCTGGGTGCTATGCTTTGGATAGAGTTTGAATGCGGAACCCCGAAGAATCACCTTATTAAAGCTTGGCCCCTACAGTGGTGATGTTAAAACGTGGCGGGACCTTCAAAAGGTGAGGTGTACTGAGAGGCTGAAGCTGCCCATCCCTGTTCTCTGGCTTCCTGTCTACCATTAGTCAGTTGGCCATGCTGTGCTGTTAGCTGTGCCATGCTCATGGTGTTATATACTAGAATAGACTGATCGCTAGACAATCCAAGTCGGAGCAGGCTGTCGGATGGATATTTCTAATTTCCAATGCAGTTGGAGCTCTAGCTGAATCATAAGATGGTTAGAATAACAAAAGGGGCCAGAGCCTGTAGGAGTATGTCTCCATGCTAGGAGCTGTAGATTGGCCCGATTTCGGTGTTAGTATAGATAAAGGCACTGAGTGAGTTCTGCTAATCATATACATGGCAGTAACGTGTTCCTGAAATTCATTGGCCAATTTGATGAGACATGTCTGTTCTGTCAGCAGATAATCCTGAATGGGAGGACATGCATGTTGTCAATGGAAAAATGTATTCTGCTCCAGGAGTGGCTTCTTGTTTTTCTCTGCAAATGTCCAAACTGTGCTACACCATACCATTCCTGATGTCTGGGGAGGAAGGACAGAAGTCTCTTCTGCTGTTGGACCGGGCAGGATAGAGTGCTGGTTTTAGGTTATTAATAAGACACTAAATGCATATGCTTCCTGGAGGTCCTCTAGCTCCTTAGGAGTCCCACAGAGCACTCCAGATAGTCGTTTTGCATCAGGGGCAGTTTCTTTCAGACATTTTGCATCTGTCCATGATCTTTGACTTAATCAGATTGCTGTCACCAAGTGGGCTTAAGTAATGCTTTGGATAAAACAGTGTAAAATGAGAAACTCGTGAGAACAATTTGACAGCAAATTAGATATAAACCATGTTACAGAGAAAGCAGACCCTGGGTCATATACCTGCTTGTCAGTTACTTTCACTGGATTCTAAGCCATGCTGAGGTTTAACAAAAATGTCTACCTCTTTCACCTGTGTTTTAGATGTCCAGCACTAAATTTTTGGTTGATAAAATGAATCATTTAAAATGCTAATATATGTAAAGCCAATGTTTTAACACATCTGTTCAAAGCTTTTTCTACTGTATGGCGTCCACACAGACACACTCCCATTCTCACTCTATCTTTTCACACAGACATAGTCACTAAGCACTCATGCTTTCTATTCACTCTTTTCAGAATACAATCAGTATTTAGTAACTGTTGAGAAGTTAAAGCACGGTAGTGAATTATGTTTCTAATCATGTTTCATATCATGTGTGATATGTTTCTAAAAGCAGAAAATAGAATGTATTATAAGCATATGTAAACTTAAATGCAAATAAAATATGAAAGTGGCTGGTATTTTAATAGAGAAGGATTATGCTACTTTCCTTTCCAGAGTCGGCCATCAGTCTTCGGCCTTGTACTACTTCAAGGCTGTAACAAGCCCAAGGCCTTCCAGGTCTAATGCATCTCACCCGTTTCTTCAAAGACAACATCTCTGAACAATCAAGAAATTAATCTCTGTTAAATAAAATGTTTTTTTTATTGTTTGTAAATGATGCCTGGTTGGATCCACTTCAGATTTCTTTTGAGAGAAACTTGAATTTTAAATATTGGTCATGGAAGAAATATACATCTTACAGTAAATCGTTTCTCAGGTAGGTTAATGAATGGTGATGTTTGGAAAATATGTCCAGCTTTTCTGCAAATTCTCACTTCATTATACATATGTATGTAGAAGCTAGGTCCGATGCTTCCTCCAAGCCCCATGCTCCCAGAAATAAGACTTAAACTCAAAGTATATTTACAATTACCTTGACCATATAGCTCGGCTCTTTTCTGAGTAGCTCATAACTTTAAATAGCCTATTTATTCTAGTCTGTCTTCTGTTGTGTGGCTGGTTACCTGTGCTCAGGTACCATGTGTCAGTCTCATCGTTCCCCAGGCTTATCTCTGTAGGTGTGGCTCTGATGCTAAGGTTCTGTTCCCCAATTGGTTCTTATTCTGTCAGTAAAGAAGCCATGGACCAATTGCTAGGTGGAAGGAATAGGCAGGACTTCTGGGTCCCTGGAGGCAAGCAGACAAGAGAGGAAAGTTCACCATGCTTCTGATGGAGAAAAGTTGACCAGCCATGTGAGATCTTGAAACGAGTGACCATACAGGCCGCTCCTATAGGAGGGTAGTCAGGGGAGTTTAGCGGGGATGAGATGTAACTGAGCAACTAAAGTTTAGAGCAGGTAGGAGGTACAGAGCTAAGGATACTGATAAGGGCATGCTTTTCCAGGTGGGAGATAGTAGCGCCTAGTAAGTGTGTCAAAGGGCAAGTTGAAATTGAACAACTGGGTGTCTGTGTCTTTTATCCATTGATTCAAGGGAAGCTGGGTGGGGACTGAGAGTACAGCCCATTCCCGGAGCTTAGGCTGGGTAGCAAAAGCTGCACACAACCTATCTCCCATCCAGTACAGTCCCAGAATCCTTTCTGCCTACAGGATGTTGCATCTCCTATTTCTGCCTGAGCTATAGGCCATCAGATTTATTATTGACAGGTGCTACATCCATACAGATACAAGATATTTTCTCTGCATGTATTAGAAGTAGAACAGTATAAGATGTGGGTTTTGTTAAATTAAAGATGAAACATGACTAATCTTAACCATTCTGTCCAATAGCCTTTCTGTCCTGACCCCTAGATGGTGTATTTGTAGCTTGTTTTATCTGTATGGTCCGTGCTATGAAAGCTGCTCCTCAGGGAGGAAGCTTCAGGTAAGTTCCAGTCCTGGGGCCTCTGGACTCTGTGTCTGAACTGCATGCTGTCTTCAGCTACAGGACTTATCTTCCACCTTTGTGGTACAAACATAGGCAATAGCAATACCATATAATCTTTTGGGAGTCTCTTGGACAACCTGGACCAACAACTTAAAGAGGGTCTCTCACACCTGGTGGTGGAGTTTTAGTTACATATTCTTTGGCTCTTGGACGGAATATTGTCAGCCCAAATGGTAAAACTTTATTTACACTATATACATATATTTATCCACGTACTTACGCGTATTATAGGTTGGGGGATGTGAGTACTCAATAGTCCGATTCTTTACTATGATTTTTTTCAAATATCCAGACATTTTATGATTTCACTTCCCTTTACATCTGCATAGCATTCCATAGTGTGCATGTACCTCATTCCATTCATCATTGATCAGCTGAAGGACATTCGGTTTGTTTTCCGTTCACTGGCTGTCGTGAATACCAAATGATCAGCCCTGAAAACAGATACATACAAGGAACATTGTGCAGACTGAGCAGGTTGTATTTTTGTGTATAGGAATGTGAGTGGTGTGCGTGTGCGGCCACACTTGCATACATGTAGTCATAAACATATGCATAAATGTGTCTAACAGCAATAAAAGGAGAGGTCATGAATGTGTAGAAAGATCAAGGTGGTAGTTCATGTGACGTTTTGAAGGGAGGAAAGGGAAGGGGAGTGTCTTAGTTAGGGTTTTACTGCTGTGAACAGGCACCATGACCAAGGGCAACTCTTATAAGGACATTATTTTATTGGGGCTGGCTTACAGGTTCAGAGGTTCAGTCCATTATCATCAGGGTGAAAGCGTACCAGTGTCTAGGCAGTCATGGTGCAGGAGGAGCTAAGAGTTCTACTTCTGTATCCAAAGGCTGCTAGGAGAAGACTGGCTCCCATGTGGTTAGGAGAAGGGTCTTAAAGCCCACAGTGACACACCTACTTCAAAAGGGCCACACCTCCTAATTGTACCACTCCCTGGGCCAAGCATATACAAACCATCACAAGGAGGAACAATGTAATTATATAATAATCTCCAAAAGTAAAAGAGATATTTAAGTAAACAAAGTAAGAACATTTCTGTATGTTCTGTGAAAAGCCAGAGGAGCAGTGTCTTTTTCCATCACCCACTGTAAAAAAAAAAGAGAAAGAGAGAGAGAAAGAAATCATTTATCGTGACATTTGGGAGCCGAACCCAGTGTAAGCAAAGGAGACGTTGAAAAGCTTATCATGATATTGAAGTACAGCTTTGATGAGAACCTACAGGAGGGGAATGAAGGAGTTAACTAACTTTCTTACAGTGTTTCCAGTGATCTGAGTACCTAAGTCACGCACGATGAACTTTGCCAGGAGGATTCTAAACTCTAGCACATCTTTTCTTTGTTAGATTAACCAGTAAATAAGGAGCAGTGGTCACCTGTTTTGCAGTAGCTATGCAAGTGAGCCAAACCAGAAGCTAGGGCCATCCAGTCCAAAGACTGAAAGTGTGTGCTCCCCCCCCACACACACACAGTGTTCATATACTTGCCACATGAATTAAGACAAGCCTCCCTCTAAAAGTGGTTTTGCATCATCAGAGCTAAGGTATCCCAGGGGCAGCTAGGTGAGCCCAAGATTCACATCATTTTCATAGAGGAGGGAAAGATTTCCTGCCTTAGAGAAATCTTACATAAGCCATCTCTGAGACCTGATTCTCATAGGATTTTTATCTTGCTCTTGCCTGGTCTGTTCTCTAAGGATTAAGGATTAGCTTCCCCACCCCCATCCCAACCCCATCTGTTTTTTGTTATTGTTGTTTTTTAACAGATTCATTATACACTGAAAATTAGCAGGAAATTCACAAATTCTCCCTTCCAGGATTCACTCTAGTTCTAAATTATGGGAGCCGATCTCGCCCTCTCAGTGGTGGGTTAAGAAATGGCATTGGAGAAAGGCAGGTGTTTCTTTTTGTGGTAATCAGCTAGCTACCAGTTTCTAACATTGGAAAACCTGTTGCCTCCAAGAGTGTACTCTGGCTAAACTTTCCCCACTCTGTGGACTGAGCTCCTTCCTCTGGATCCTCTTATCTCAGTGTAGCCAGAGCAGCAGTCAGTCCTCCTCTGCTTGGAGAGCCAGACAGCAGGATGGTTTTCGCTGTCGCAGCATCAGGGTCTCTACCTGACTGCTGTGAGCCTCTGTTTTTATTAGCTACAAGGGTTGGCCACTCTCTGGCATTACATCATTGCATAGTACTTCATTCTTATCTGCTCCACACAGAGCTAACATGAGCTAGGGTGCTGGTGGGAGCTAGCGGCTCCTCCAACTCCTATCTGGTACAGACAGCTAATATGACCTAGCTCCTCCTTCCTGTAACATTCAACTTAGCCTTTTTCTAATTTCTTAGTAGCATGCTCTCTACCTTCTGTCTTCCCTTCCTTGAGTACGGCTACACTGTATTATGGTTTGAGTGTAAAATATTGGATCATGTATTTGAACACCCAGATCCCAGTTGGTGGTGCTGTTTTGGGAAATTGTGTGGCCTGTTTATTGTAGGGATCATGTGGCATGGACTCTGATTGCCCTGCTTCTCTTTGCCACCATTTAAGCCCTTCCACCCTAGCTACATCAGGATAGACTCTACCCTCTGAGCCAAAATAAATTCTTCCTCTCTCAAGTTGCATCTGTTAGGCGTTTTATTATCGAAAGACAAAAGTAATTAATACATGGTTTAGATTTCTTTTCAGCTTGTCAAATTGGGGAGTGCGTTATCTTTTGTTAATGGGGGTCTTCTGGGACTGTGGTGGTTAGAATAAAAATGGCTTCCATAGGTCCAATGGGAGTGGCACTATCAGGAGCTCTGGTCTTGTTGGAGTCAGTGTGTCACTGTGGAGGCAGGCTTTAAGGTCTCATGTGCCCAAGCTAGGGACAGTCTCTTGCTGCTGCTTTCTAATTAAGATGTAGAACTGTCAGCTCCTTGTCCAACACCATGTCTGCTTGAATACTATTACATTTTCTGCTATGGACTAAACCTCTGAAATTGCAAGCCAGTCCCATCAAAACGTTTTTCTTTATAAGAGTTGCTGTGTATTCCAGGGCTTTTGGAGTCCTGCTTGAGGTTTAATAATAATAAAGACCAAGAGGCATCATCTACATAGTTTAAAGCTATTGGCCTTTTTGCTGGGGCAGTCTCTTAGGGCTGTCACTGCCCCACCTCCCTGCCTTGCTCCCTTTCTCCCTTCAATCTCTGTTTTGGATGACCCTGGTGTTGTTTGTATTTTGATGTTAATTCCACTTTCCCAGGAGGGGCTGTCTGCAAGGATTAATGAGTCAAGTACTCAGGTGAATTCTTGTGAA